ATTTTTGAATTTTTCTGCAATTCTCAAGAAAGTTCTAAATACCTAAAAAAAAATGTTTAAAACATCTGTTTTTATTGATTTTAGTTGAATCTTATTCAGATAATAATAAAATGTTTTCAAAATTATTTTTATATAATTTTAAGAAACAATTGACAAGTTAAATTTTAAATTTATTTAATAAATGATGTAATAATAAATCTATTTTTCAGTTATTTTTTTACATTGAAACTTTGTTGTACAATTTATTAGTCTTATCTTGACAGTTGACTATTTCATAGTTAAAACATTTTTAATTGAGAAAGAAGAAAGGATAGAAATTGAATTGTAAAACACTTGTTAAGTTGGTAACCACTGTGCTGTACAGTACTAGTGTACTAGTGTACCTAGTAACTTTGATGAATGTGTTAAATTTGAATTCAATGCTAGATTATTATGCATTAAAAAAAAAATATATATATATATTCTGTGTGGAAAATTCATAACTTTTTGGTTATTATGGTTACCGAACAGGTACTAAGTTAGATCAGATTTGTACCCAGAACCCTCCCTTAATGATAATGATTATAGTATCTGTTCTATACTAGAAATAGTATTTTCAGACACAAAAATAAAATAGGTGAATAGTTAAATAAATGCATTCTTCAAAACAATTAAGCGGAGCACTCAGAATCTAAAATTATTTAATAATCTAGTACTCCTAATAAAAAGTTACTTAACCTTTCTACATTTATTAAAAAATATATATGTGCATGCATGTCTTTTTTTAAATTTGAACAAGAAAATATAATATTAAAAAATTAATTTATAGATTGTTCAATTTTAATATAAATACCTTTACTGAAGTAATAACTTAATTTAAATATGGGTGTTAAATATTGACCTATTGCAAACGAGATAATTTTTTGTTATTCTTTTGCACACTTATAATATATATTCTAAATGTATTAATCTTTGTTAATGGTAGAAAAATTATCAGTCAATTAAATTATTTAATTTGAACCATTTACTGACTTATTTCATAAAAAACATTATTAAATAATTTAATTTTTTAACATGTTTAGGAGATTCCTAATTGTTGTGTACCTAATTAGATACATACTTATATACTTATGAGTTATGATTATTAAAGTATTTAAACTGTTGATTATGAGTGAAAAACAAATTAAATTATTGACAGTTGTCTTGTTTGATGAAAGTAATTCTACTAGAATTATTAACATGAGTTTTGATAAAGAATTTAGTATATTTGACTATGCTTGTTTTGTTGGGGATGGAGTCTTCTTCTTTATCTTTTTTGGTGTATCTCTTCTATTTTTTTTTAAATAAAATGCTGGGAAAGCAACATTTACTTATGAAATTTACTAGTGAATTAGCAAATTGTCAGTTTTTATAATGCATAATATTTTTACATTGAACTCAAGAAAAAAAATAACTGTTCAAATTCCTTATAATTATAAAATGACAGTGATAAAAAAATTTTATTATGCAATGAAGTTTCAATAATACRAAATTTTTTTCAATTCCTCATAACTCATTGAATAATATGACTAGAAACGTTAAACTTATACCATTATTCTTAGAATTCAATATTGTTTCAAATTAAAAAGAAACCGTGAAAAAAACTTAAATTTTGTGTTTTGTTCTCCTTTAAAGTCAATTTACAAATCATAGCATAATAGTTTGTAAATTCTGAATTTTTAGATCTATTTAGTCCTCCTAAGTTACCACCAGTACCAGAAGAATGTCAAATGTCAACAGAATCTTCCAACAATATATACAGCCAACCTTATGGAAATGTAAACACATGTTATCAGACGAATCAAAATTCATTGTCTTTACATTCAGAACTGAACCAACTTAAAATGACAAATATGCGACAAGAAAATACCGATTCATCATGTCCATTGCACACTAATAATTATTCAACAGGTGAAAACTATCAATCTAATTTTCCTACAATGTTTCATCAACCTTCAAATGGTAGTTATCAATCCAATGATCTCTCTTACAATAATATTCCCACGGGAGCTACACAACCTCACCACAATGAAATGCAGATACCACCTCCACCGCCTGTATATTCTTTTGAATTCAATACATCCAATATCAGCCATGAACCAGTAATAAACTCCAATAATTATAACCAACATCAAGATTTATCTGCGACTAATACCTCTGTGATGAATTATGGAAATGGATCATCAACCAACGATTTTAAGAATAGAACTCCACAAGTACAAACATATAGCAAGTTTCCTCCAGTTGTGAGAAACTCACAAGATCAATTTGTGGCACCAAAAGTAATAATTAATTTACAACCTATGATTATATAATGTGATTATGCATTTGTATAAATTTTAGATCAGACAGAGGCAACGCGGTAGACAASCTCAGCCAAAACAAAAAGTTATGCAATCGAATATAAATCATTCAAATGATAACAACCAAAGTGTTCTACTTGCTCAGCTTCTCTCATCAAGTAMGTTTTTATTTAAATAATATTATATTTCCTATATAATTGTATATAAAAATAATAAAAATTTTGTTAGACAATATGTTTTCAACACCAAGTTCAACTGTAGTTTCTACCAACATGACCAAGTTTCGAAATACAAACGGATCTTATCAAACATACCAGCAAGTACCACAGGTTCCACAAATTCCACAGATACCATATCAATTAATACAAAGAAGAGCAAGAACACCAGATCATGTTTTAACTTCTTACACTGATCATCTTGTTTATCGAAAACCAAGTCCTGTCTTTATGAATCAAAGGTATATTAATAATAAGTAATTATTATAAATATTAATCAATAATAATATTTTGCATAAAGTATAAATTAAATATATATAATTTTAATATTCTCAGTGACTGTAATGTATATAATTTAACGCCTAATACTCGTGGACTTATCGATGCAGTTGGAACTCCTGGTGGTATTCATCAACTTCCGCAAATTCAACCTAGATTTGATATACCACATGGAAACACCCAAGGTTACTCAACCTACAGGCTCCCTCAACCTCAAGAATATGTCAATCACTCTGTCTCTGTCATAGATAAACCTTCACCTACCAGCAATCAACCCTCACCTACAAATAACTATAGTCAAYCCTTAAATACTCCAATTCCTCAATCTGTAACATCTCCTATGGCATGTAGTACAGATCTCTGTCAAAAAACTCTCTCCCCAAGTCAATCTAACGAGTCAGTAAATTTGTCACAAAGGAATGGTTCAATGGCAATGCCAACACATGTAATGATCCCTGGTCCATCAAGAACTCCATATAAGGTAATATAACACACTGATTTGTTTTGAATATTTAACATCTCTATGTTTTAAGTTATTTAAGTAAATATTAGTGTGAACTGCTCATGAGCTTAAGGCCTAGATTAAAATATGTGCAGGAGCATAGGAGAGTTTGTCATATAAATGCAGAACAAAAGCGGAGGTGCAACATTAAGAATGGATTTGATATGTTAAATATGTTAATACCTCAAATCAATCAAAATGCAAACACAAAAATGAGTAAAGCAGCGATGCTACAAAAAGGAGCTGATTATATACTYCAGCTAAGGTCAGAACGAGCAAGGCTATATGAAGAGAGACAAAATTTGCAACAACAAGTTGAATCTCTTAATTTAGCTATAAGGTTTGTAAATGCATTTGTTATTTTTAAATTAACCATCAATAATTATTTAATTTGATTCAAAAATTAATTTAAATTTGATTTTACAGTAATTGTCAAGCCATGTTACCCGCTACGGGAGCCCCATTTTCTAGACAACGAACAACAAAAATGAAAGAAATGTTCGATGAATATGTTAAGAAACGAACTCAAGAAAATTGGAAATTTTATATCGTATCCTTGATATAGTTTTAACTAATTATTAATATAAGCTTTATTACTTAAATGAATAATAAAAATTTCATTAACAAATACTATTATATCCAAAAAATATTTGAAAAATGTATACAAAAAAGTTATTTCACATGAACTTAAATAATATTGTATATTAWATTATAAATCATATAAATTGATACATAATGATATGCATTTAAAAAAAAATTTCTCATTTATACGTTTTAATTTAAAAAAAAAACATATTGATTTTAATTTCTTAACTCTTATAAAGAGTAGTAACAACAATATATTTTATATAACTATAAATATTGTTAGGTTTTTTATCTTGCTTATTTTGAATTTATAATTATTTTTCAAATGCCAACATTTAATTTTTAACCTAAAGAAAAATAATAAACTCATAATATAAACAATAGGTATATAAACTTCATATACTTTTTGTCATGTATATAATATGTTAAAAATTTMACCTAGTGTGTATTTTAATTCTTTAAATTCATATTATTTAGCTGAGTTTAATTGCAGAACCGCTATTAAATTCATTTAACTCTAGTGTGTCTACATCAAGTTATGATGAAATGTATCGTACTACTCTTCAGTGGGTAGAACAACACTGTACATTGGGTGATCTTAGGCCAAGTGAGTATAAATGATTTGATAATAATATCTAGGAAAATATCTATTATTTTTAGCTTTCATACTAACATTTTGGGCATAGATGAAATTTTTTAACATGGTATAAAAAACCCTGTTGATGGCTTTAATGATATCAATCATATTATTTGAAAAATATATATTAGTTAAGAGYAAGTCACACCAGCATGTGTTGTTTACTTGTTTCWGTCTAACAAGTGCATAACATACCAAATTTACACTCAGCACATCACATTTAGTTAATAAATTAAATTAATTTGACCTCTTGTAAAATTTAAACATATGTGTTTGTATGTTGGGTTTTTACAATACTTCAGTTTTTAAGTRTGTTATGAGCATTTTTAATTTACGCAATATTATACACAAAAAGTTTGCTAAAATATTGTACTACCATAAAACTCCAATATACAAACACAGATGATGTGCTTACCTTTAARCTTCATAAATAGTCAATTGACTTTAATTTTTTAACTAACAGAGAGCTAAACATGATCTGCTGAGTGTAAATTTGCCATGTTACACACTCGTAAAACAGATAAACACATACAGGTATGATGTAGAATGAGTAAAGTTAAGTACATTTGATATTTTATATTGGTATGTGCAATTGGATATTTTATCTTTGTCTTAAGTTTATACATAAATAGAGTTGGAATAAATTTGGGTTTTTTAGAACATGATTTTTATTTTTTAACTTGTAGATCATATAAAAACATTTTCAAGATATTACATCTATGAACATTAGATTAATTTAATGAACCATTAAATCATGTTTAAAGGACCATCAG